CTCACACACACACACACTCTCACACACACACACGCACACACACACTCACACACACACACACACTCTCACACACACGTGGTCACTCTTCCTCCTCCCCAGCAGCTTCCTGCTCCTCATCTTCCTCCTCCCATGTTCTATGCGTGACCGATGCGCTCCCGTGTGGAGATGAACCTCCTTCGGCTTTATCCAGGGCTTTTCCCACCGGCCCCACGACGGCCCGCCACAGCAGCTCGGGGTAGGGCATGCGGGCCCCCGTCAGCAGCGGGACACCTTGCATGGGGCCGCCGTGGCCCTCGAGGAGCTGTGCAGCCGCCGCGACGCTCATGTGATCCAGATGCTGCTGGCCGAAGGATTCAGACGGCGGGGATCCCCTGGGATCAGTCCCGCGGCGCGGGCGGCGCGTGCGGAGCTCCAGGCAGCTGTGGCCCTTCCTGTGGCGCTGCAGATGGTCCTCGCGGGCGAAAGCCTTGTGGCACAGCGGACACTCGAAGGGCCGGTCCCCGCTGTGCAGCGAGAGATGGTTCTTCAGGTCGTAGGAGTGCAGGAACCGCGCGGGGCAGCTGGGACACGGATACGGCCGCTCGCCCGTGTGCTTCCGCATGTGGATCTTCAGCTTGTCGTTCCTGAGATGAGAAATGAGAGAGATTAACTGCACCGTTCTAGCAGGAAACTACAAATACAACTATAATTTTAGCGTTCTCATTTTCTCCAATAGCGAAAGATAAAATTCTTGATGGCTTTTCTACTGCTTTAGAACAATCGAGAGATTGATTACGTGGGTCACTCCCTCAGCCGGTGTATTAGATGCTCTAGTTTTCCGTACTTTAATGCCAGGGTAATATAACAAAGTATAGTGTTATAAATGCCTGCCGAGCTCAAACAGTAGAGTAGTTTGATTCCCAAAGTTAAGAACTGATAAAATGCAGTGTAAGTTGCTTTGGATAAAATTGTCAGTCAGATGCATAAAACCTTGGTAGATTGTGAACGCATCATACCGTGTGAAGCGGACGCCGCAGGCCGAGCACTGGAACGGTTTCTCTCCCGTGTGTGTTCTCATGTGCCGCGGCAGCTTTCCCGCCCCGTGGATGATCTTCTGACATACGGGACACTGCTGAGGCGTCTGAGACTTCCTCTTCCTGCCGCTTCCGGCCGATGCTCCGCCCCCCTGTGATTGGCTGTGGTGGGGTGTGGCCCGCCCCTGCGCTCCGGACTCCTCCTCCTCTGAGGGCGTGTCTTCGGGTCTGTGTGGGATCGGGGTGAACTCCTGTGACCAGTGTGAGCTTCCGTTCATGAGGCGCCCCAGGTGGGAAGCGCGTGTGTCTCCGTCTTGTACCTCGGCAGGCGGCGGGTGTCCTTCTCGCCCTTGCGCCGGAAGCAGCCCGCACTCGGGCGTGTCTTCAGGACTCCGCCACACCGGCCTCACGGGAGACACGGCTCGGGTCACGTAGCATCGGTCCTGCTTGCGGCGGGATGGCAGCTGCTGGTTTGTTGGATTGTCGCCCGTCTCGCCCAAAATGTCTCGGCAGGCGTCAGCCACGCACTGGATCCCCAGCAGCTGCGCGCCCTTCAGGACCTCACGCATGCCCGAGCTGCGGATGGTCAGCGTGGCGGTGTAGGCGAACTCCAGCAGCGCGGCCAGAGCGTCAGGAGACACACAGTCCAGCTGACAGACACTGCAGCTGTCGCCCACGCCCTCGTCTCCATCCTCGCCCTCCTCCGCCCCGAACAGACGCCGGAAGTACAGGCTGACCGCGGCCATGACGGAGCGGTGCGTGGGGTAGCGTGCGCCATGTGACGTCAGCGTGAGGTCGCAGAGCAGCCCGGTCCGCCGCTGGGCATTGAGACGAGACAGCAGCTCGTTGCTGTGCTCCGGGAAGGGGATCCCGATTAGACCGTCCTCTCCTGGAGACATCGCCACCTGCAGGCAGAGAGAGACACGTGTGAATACTGTCGGCACAGAACGCTGCATGCTGCTTCAAAACACATTTCACAAGTTGTCATAGTTGGGTACCGCAATAGAAAGTCAATGGAGAGCGTTGGATTGTTTCCCCCCCGGTGGGCGTTTTCAGATTATGATGCGTGTCGCTCTGTCTCTATAGTGGTGAACGGAAACTATAATAAATATCATTTTTGCGTTCCAATTTGCTCCAATAGCAAAAAAAAAAAAAGAGGAAACAAATATGGAGAGATTGATTGTTGGTCAGATAAGAGAAAGATGTCAAATTTGCCATTGAATTAGAAACACCCACACACACACACCTCTTGCTTTTTACTTTATGTGATGGAGGATTTTAATAAGGGCTTAAACGTCCCACAGGCCTCCTCCCAAACGCAAAACGCTAATTTAGGACACACCCAATCCAGCAAGCAGGATCAACGGATCAGAGCGACAGAGAGAGACAGATAGACATGCCCTGAATGTGCATTTGACTGTGTATTGTTAATATTTTCATAAGCATTACTGACATTACTATATTTTTACTATTCCAGTAGAAGAGCTGAAGCGGTTAGAGATGCTGCAGCTGCAGAATCTGACAGTCTGAGACACTGACACCTGGACGAGACAAACTGCTTTAGTGCAGACAAATATTTACAGGCTATACGTCTGTGTGCATGCATGTGTGTGCGCGTCTGCACGCATGTATGCCTGTGTATGTGCGCATGCATGCATGTATGAGTGCTTGCTCGCATGTGTTTGTGTGCGCGAGATGCATGTGTGTGCGAGGTGCATGTGTGCTCTGGGTTGTGTGGGTGGGGTAAACACTATGGGACACAAAAGAACAGGGAGAAATTTTACTTCTATTTTCCACTTGAGATTTACATCAGAATCTGCTCAGAAAAGACTTTCCATCTGCTGGAACATAGAGAGAGAGAGACAGAGAGAGAGACGGGCGGAGAATAAGAGCACATGTAACAGTAATGGCACTATTTTTATCAGATCACAACACACACACATTCAAGAGTCACACTGATTATAAACTACATGTTACTGAACACTTCAAAAGTTATATCACCGTCTGGCTGTAGTTGTTCATTTTGATTGGTTTTATTGTCTTTTTGTATGCGTTTTTCAAACAGACCCCAAACAGAAGCGGCGTTACTAAACTGATTAACAGTCACAAAAATGTCTGCGTGATAAAACAGTTAAAGACTCAAGCGTGTTGTAATGATTAAAACCCACACAATATATTACGGTAAAATATTAAATGCATCTGAAGCGTTGAATATGATTATTTTTACAGGCCCATCGCTGGCGACTCTGGGGCCTCGAACACAAACACAGGCAAGACAAACTTTAGGCTTAACATGTACATCCCAGATTCACTGTCTGTGTCATAGCATCCGTCTGTCTGTCTCTGAGCCGTCTCTCCTGCTTCTTTCAACAAACGTCAGGGTTCGACGCTCTCCGGTGGGGATCTGGACCTCTTCCTTCCTCTCTTTCTTCTTTCTATCTCTCCTTTCGTCTTCCTGTCTTGTGAAAAAGGTGTTTGAGACGCCTCCCACCGTCGCCCACGTGCCCCTCGCTCCCATCAGCATCAGCTCGTTTCGAAACGCTCGCAAGTTTCCGAAAAAACAAAATCCCTCGCCCTACGCTGCGAGCTGCGTCCGGATCAACGGCTGCGGCGACAGGAAGGATGATCTTCAGACTGATTCCGGCCCTGCGAGCAACACTGCGCCGTCAATGCAGCATTTTCCGTCTAATGCAGCGCGTTTATTAGGCTTTGGGAAGGACAGATGGAGAAACTTCAGTGGTTTCCGAGCCGTGTTAACTAGGGTTAACTAGTAAAGGTGTGAAGAATCAAACACAAACAGCCCAACACCACACACACACACACACACACAGAAAGCATCCTAATAACCAAAGATACACAAATAAATTAAAACATTAAATGAAGCAACAAGTAATTTCAGATCACTGAAGAACTCAATAACATGCAAAGTTCTTCAGATACCTGAACAAATGAACGTGACACTCACCAAACACAGCTGTAAGAAACAAATCAGTTTGAGAGACATTTGAGTGAAAACAGAGCAGGACAGAAAGAAGAATTGAAATGTGGTGTTCAGAAGAACAAAAGAAGGAGCTGAAGCTGCAGGAGAGAAGCGCGTCACAGGAACTCCTGCACGAGCCGCAGAGCTTGGGTTTCATCTCACCGTCTCAGTCGTTCATTCTGGAGACAATCACACTTCTACACACACTCGTTTCTTTCTGAAAACTGCATGAAAGAGCTCAAGAACTTTATGATTGATGTCTGTTGGATCAGTGAATCACGTCCTCAAACACACAGCTCTGAATCTGAACCGCTTCTGTTCTCAGTTTAAACTGGATCTGGTCTGGATTTAAATTGATTTTGCTCTTAAAACGGTCCAAATCTGCTCTGAATTTGAACTTCATCGGTTCTTAATTGAAACTGGACCTGCTCTGAATTGAAATGGAATCTGTTGTGAATTTCATCTGTTTGTCCACCGATTCCATAATAAACAGAACCAGCCCTATAATAACACACAATGATCACAAACTGTAAATATGAAACTTCAGATCAAACACACACTCTGGATCAGTTAAACAGTCTCTACACATGGAAATATTCTCAGCGATGTTTTCTATGAAATCATTGCCACTGAAAGCCTTTCAACACCAGCTCGCCTCATTAACAGATCACGTCAACATTTCGCTTTGTTATTTATAAAAACAAAAACTACTACAGAAAGAACTTTTGCCATTCCAGCAAGACAACACATCTGACAGAAACCCAGAAACTTTCCAGTTTACTTAGAAACAGAGCAAGACGTCTTTAAACCTGGAACATCTGTCGTATCTGATCAAACCAAGACAGATGAAGCGTACAGACACTCAGATGATATGAGTGTCATAACTCTACACACGCATACAATCATTCATAAAAATGGGATTTGATGTCAAAGAGAAAACGAGCAGTTAAAAACAGCACAAGACCTGATGAAAGAGCACATGGCATTTAACATCCAGCCATGAAACACGCCTCATTCATCAGTTACTAGAACTCTGTCTCACGATGAAAAAAGAGGACAGATATTAATAGCTTGAAACTGCATTATTGTGTCCTTTTACAACTTTTTAATAAAAAGTATTGAAACTTTAAATTGTGACAATTTTACATCCCCTTTACTTTAAAATAGCTACATTTATAGAAAGTGTTAAAATCAGGGAAATTCTGCTTTGCACTTTTTGACAGAACTTAAAAAAAAAAAGAAGACATTTTTAATTTGGTATTTAAGTGAAAAATTCACTGTGTAAATAAATTTGATGTGTAAATGGCAGTGTAGAAATGTCATTCATTTTTAAGAAATGAATTTACATTTCTCTTCAGTGGAACACAAAAGAAGATATTTTGAGAAATGTGTTTTTGTCAATACAGTGAAAGTCAATGGGGTCCAATGTTGTATGGTTCTAGGCCTGTCACGATAACAACTTTTTGTTGTGCGATATATTGCCCCAGAAATAATTGCGATATTATTGTCATTTTAAAGACCATTTTATGCCACTGAATATATAATCATAATGTAACAGCATAATAATGCACACTTCCAAATGACAACAAACTTTTAATTTTTAAGAATATTTAGATTATGGAAATTAAGTATCAAAATATTAGATAGCTTAAAAAACTTGATTAAATGGTAAATAAACATTTTCTAACAAAAAGTGCAAAGTAACAAGTAGAAAAAGAAGGAAAATGCACAAATATCTTGTATGGAGATTTTTCTATCTACAGATTTTCCCGGACCTTCTTTTCTCTGTAAATGAAGGGAGCACACTATTGCTGAAAAACACAAGCACTATGTCTGTATGCACAAAGGCACAGATCCCTAAACAAGGCCATATCTGCAGATGAAACTTTGTTTGTAGAAGCATTTTTTAAATGTGAACGAGCATCTCATGACTAAGTTACACCACGTCATGTACGAGAAGCTGCAAAGGACACAGGCGCAAGTGGAATGTACAAAACATGGTGACATTCATTTTTAAGTAAATATAATGGGCGATATATTGCGTCACCAAAAATTATTGAGGTCATGTACATATATTGCGCGATAAGTTGATATATTGATTATTGCGACAGGCCTATTTGGTTCCCAAAATATTCTTCAAAATATCAGAAGAAAGTCAGTTATACAGGTTTGAATGAGATGAGAGAGAGTAAATGATGATTTCTGACTGAACTAATCCTTCTCTTATATTAGCAAGATCAAGCTTATTCAACTTTTGGTCCAGAAAAAGTTAAAAAACTACCATCACATACAGTATCTAAAGTCCAGACCATGACCTACGAAGGGCCAAAAGGGCCAGAAGTAAATGTTGCATTATATCCAAATATATTAAAATTCATTTACAAAAACAGTCACTCAAAAGTTCAATGCAAAAACACAACAAAACAAAGATATGCATGTTTTTTTTCCATCTCAGGTCAAATCAAAGGTCATCGCAGGTCAGCTTTGAGCGTCTCTGCATTAAATGCACCTGACAGTCGTTCAAGGCCTCGATTCGATCTCAGTCTCCTTTATCGTGTCAAATCTGTGAGAGTGTGACTGTAGGACGAGCTCCAGACGGCTCCTGAATCACCAGCTCAAAGACACGAAACACTGTGAATCAGCTTTCTTACAAACACACACACACACACACACACACACACCTACAGAGTGAACCCCCCTCTGCCCAATGACAAACACATACAGTAAAGAGACGCTCATCTGACAAGAAGCACCCACACCATCTTCTGCTCTTTCTTTTCTTGTGTTCTCTGCGTCTCTCGCACGCCGGCTTTATTATTTCAGAAAGCTGATTTTGACTCGAGTGAGAGAAACAGGAGGCTAATCTGACTGAGGAGTGAGTGTGTGCGTGTTCACATGATCAGAGCGGCCCGAGCTTCGTCTCTCCTCAGCAGCTCCAGAACACTGATCCGAGCAGAGATTCTGTGAAGGAGACGGCCGTGTGGAAATAACATCTCTCTGTCGTCGAGTGTGTTTCTGTTTGTGTCACAGCGGATTCTCACGTCCCACTGCTGCTCTGACAGCTCACTTCTGTTCTTCCCCGATCACAATACGACAATATGGTTTCCTTAATGTGCTCACGCAACACGATGCCACACACACACATCTGCCGTGTGTCTTGTGCAGTTATCCATCAGAACACATGACCATAGCAGAAACACACCACACTTCCAAATGACAACAAACTTTTAATTTTTAAGAATATTTAGATTATGGAAATTAAGTATCAAAATATTAGATAGCTTAAAAAACTTGATTAAATGGTAAATAAACATTTTCTAACAAAAAGTGCAAAGTAACAAGTAGAAAAAGAAGGAAAATGCACAAATATCTTGTATGGAGATTTTTCTATCTACAGATTTTCCCGGACCTTCTTTTCTCTGTAAATGAAGGGAGCACACTATTGCTGAAAAACACAAGCACTATGTCTGTATGCACAAAGGCACAGATCCCTAAACAAGGCCATATCTGCAGATGAAACTTTGTTTGTAGAAGCAT